CTCCTTCCTTCCTTCCTTCCTTCCTTCCTTCCTTCCTTCCTTCCTCCCTCCCTCCCTCCCTCCCTCCCTCCCTTCGTCCCCTTCTGCCTCTCCCACCCTCCTTCCCTTTCACCTCAGACTTACTATGTAGGTGAAGATAACCTTGAACTCCTGATTTTCCTGCTTCTCATCACTTTAGTGTCAGGGTTAGAGGGAGATGCTCCCTGTTATGTGCAGTGCTGAACATTGAACTTCATGTATGCTAGCCAAGCACTCTATCATTTAGCTATACCCCAGCCTGGGATTTGCAGTTGTCTTTAACAGTTTAACGGCACAGGGTCTGTTCAATAAATCTGCAGTTTTAAAAGCCCTCATTTAACTTGATATAACATATTAAACAATTTTTTGGAAAAATAATTTAGAAAGTATTATTGTGCGTAGAGAGTATATGTCTGCTGCTGTGGTGCAGCACACATGAGGTCATAGGGAAACTTCTTGGAGTTGGTTCTCTCCTTCTGCTAAGGGGTCCAAGGACTGATCCCAGGTCATTGAAATTACATAGCAAGCATTTATCCAACATGGTCTGTATTTCCTTAGCTGGAACCAGTTGACTTCAGGTATCCTCCTGCCTCAGCCTCTTGCTTAACTGGGCCTGTAGGGGTGCACTGCTATTCCCTACATCAACTGCTTGTTTTCTTTCTGATTAATTGACAGTTAATTACTTTACCTATGTGTGAGTGGTATTTTGAGGCATGTAGGTAGTATGTAGTGATCTGGGTAATTGATATCACTTGAAACATTTGTTTTTTCTTGGTTTGGGTGTATTCAAGATCTTCTCTACTTGCTGTTTTGAAGTCCATAATTCAGGGCCAGTGTTGTTCTGATGGCCACAGAACCTGACAAGTTCTTACTCAGCTGCACACTGGAGAGCCTTAGAGGATGTCTCCCTAGGTTTTGATGCTGAAAGTTGTAGTAGGGTTCATCTGATCTTTGCCATGTTCCTTCTTGTCCTTGCATGCATGTCTTAGAAAGAGCCTACTAATTTTTTTCTTCTGTTTGGAGTTATCCTGTTGGCATGTACAAAGACATACTTAGGATGTCTTCCTTTTAGAAGCGAAAAAAGTGGGTCTGAGTGCCCTGTGGCTAATGCTGTGTTTCTTCCTTGGCAGTACTGGGGGAAGAACTGGCCAAGGGAGAGGGTGCCTTCCGGGCGGTGCTGTGCTGCATGCAGCTCAAAGGGAAGCTCCAGCTTGTGTCCTCCATCCTTGCCAAGTCACTATCAGGAGAGTCTCTGGTATGTTGATGAGCACGGCTTTGAATGGTTGCTAACATTGGGGCATGTTTGACTCCTCAGGATAATATGAGGAAAATAGTGGATGTTTGGTGTAAGTGTAGTTTTGTCAGATGTCAAAATTCGTGACAATCCCAAGATGTTCATTGTTTTAAAATGAACTGACATTCAATCATTGGACCCTTGCCATTCATGATGGTGTATATAAAAATCACAGGTACTTTTTGCTGAGTTCTAAAGTATAAGATAACCAGAAGACTTTCTTTTTAAAAATTAAAATCAGCCGGGCAGTGGTAGTACACACCTTTAATCCCAGCACTCAGGAGGCAGAGGCAGGCAGATCTCTTGAGTTCAAGGCCAGCCTGGTCTATAGAGCGAGTTCCAGGATAGCCAAATCTACACAGAGAGACCCTGTCTTGAACCCTGCTCCTCCTCCAAAAAAGAAAAAACAAAAACAAAAACAAGAAAACCACCAAAGCTGGGCGTGGTAGTGCATGCCTTTAATCCCAGCACTGAGAGGCAGAGAGAGGCAGTTGTCTGAGTTCCAGGCCAGCCATGGACCATGTCTCAAAAACCAAAACAACAACAACAACAAAACAGAATTTTTTTAAAGGTTAATGTACATACTAATGGGTTTCATCATACCAAATGGGTGTGTGTAAGTTAATATCCTTGTTTACTTGATGGGAACTATCTAGTTATATTTAGACTTGAATTTAATTTTTTTAATTATAACTTTTATTGATTCTTAGTGGATTTCAAAGATAGGTTTTTAAATATATATATTTCCTAGTTTTCTTTGTTATAATTAAAGGGCTACTTTTTGTAACTTTATATTTTGGTTTTTCAAGACAGGGTTTCTCTGTGTAGCTTTGCGCCTTTCCTAGATCTTGCTCTGTAGACCAGGCTGGCCTGAACAAAGATCTGCCTGCCTCTGCCTCCCGAGTGCTGGGATTAAAGGCGTGTGCCACCACTGCCTGGCTCTTTTTGTAACTTTATAGAGTTGATAATTTATAGGAATTTGAAAGAAAACTTTTTTTTTCAAGTTTCTTGGTATTTTTCAGGCATCACAATGAAAACAGAGAAAGAAGAAAGTATATAATTACCAGGCAGTGTAAATTCTCTGTCAGTTATGCTTCAAGTTGATAGGAATTTTGAAAATCAAGAGCACAGATGGTGAAAATACAGAAATTAGAAAAGTATTTGTCTGTTATGAGGTGTAATATTATTGTTCCCCCACAGGGTAATTTAGTCAACTTGTAAGGAATTACTGTGCGGCGAATTGCTTCCTTAGTTTGGTGATGTCTCTGATTTCACAAGGTTTACAGATGTGAGCACAGCAAAGTGATGCAGCTGTTTAGATCTGAACAGCTGTGAAGATGTAGTTACTTAGTCTTTCTCTTTTGAGACAGGGTCCGGAGCTGGAGACAAACTTCTGCCTTACTCTACTGAGTGCTAGGATTACAGTGGCTAGCCACCCTTCCTAGGAAGAGAAGAATGTAGCCCAGACTGGCCACAGGCTAGGGGTCCTCCCTCATCTTTCAAATTCAGCAGTTACAACTGTGCCCAGCCTTAAAAGGATTTTTCCTATAATTATTTTATTGTTGTATCTTGCTCTGTAGACCAGGCTGGCCTTGAACTCACAGAGATCTGCCTGGCTCTGCCTCCTGAGTGCTGGGATTAAAGGCGTGCACCACCACCACCACCACCACCTGGCCTGTTGGGAGTTTTTAATTTTTAAAATAATTTGTTTTTAATTTTCAAATTTTCTGAAATTTGAATTTCAAATTTTAACAAGTAAATGAGCCATCTTTAGGCACTAGATTACTTCCTGGTTTCTGTGATGGTGGATACCCCTGAGTTCAGCATTTCATATATACAGACAAGCCTGTTAGCACCAAGGGAGAGGGAAAAATAGTTTTAGGTTTGCTTTTCTCATGTTTTGTTCTGTACTCATAGCTTGGCAAGCATTTTATAGAATTAAAAAAAATTATTTTTTTGAGGCAGAGTCTCATGTAACTCTGGCTGACCTGAACTCACTCTGTAGACCAGGTTGGCCTCGAACTCACAGAGATCTGCCTGCCTCTGTCTCCTGAGTGCTGAGATTATTTTACACCTGTACATCAGGTGAGTTCTTGTAGCATGTGTACTTAGCTGGAGCAGCAACCGATTCTTTCTCCGTTAGGCTTCTTTTCCTTTCCCTGGCTGCCTGCAGCTTCTCAGTGACAGAGCAGCAGTGTGGAGGAAGGGAAAGGGAGCTGTGGTGACTGCAGAGAAGCTCACCCGAGTTGTGAGACCAAAGAACTACACACTGATGGTTTTCTGTCTTCATTTCCTCCTTGCAGAATGGGATGGTAACGAAAGATTTGACAAGACTCAAGACACTTCTCGCAGAGACGGAGGTGAGTCCATTGCCGGGCTCCCTTTGGGTGCACCAAAGCCAGTGAGGTCAGTGAGCATTCTGTTAGCCAGTCAACATGCAAGGTGACGGCGGACCTTCTGTGCAGCTGGGTCAGGTCCCACTCTCAGAACACAGCTTCTTCTCAGGCCTCCTCTGCATCCCAGGACTTCTGTTCTGACTAATTCTTCTTTTTGAGTGTATATATGTGTGTAGTTTGTGTGTATGTGTATTCACCCATGTGTGGGCACACATGGATGTCTGGGTGTGTGTGCACATGTGTGTGTACATACAGGTGGAGGCCTGAGGTTAATGTAAGAAGTCTTCCTCGATTATTTTCTATTTGTTGAGGCAGGGTCTCTCACTGAACCTGGAGCATACCAATTCTGGCTAGTTGAGCTAGCCAGCTGTCCTTGGATCCCTTGTCTCTGCCTCTTGAGTGCAGGGATTGGGGGGGGGTCACCATGTCTCTGGCTTTTACATGGGTCTGGGGATCTGAACTCTGCTCTTCACATTTGTATGGCAAGCTCTTCATGCACTGAGTCGTTTCTCTGGCACCCATCCTTGTTATTCTGGTTAGTTATCTCTGGCCCCCAAATGGAAGGTAGTTGGGTAATTTTAATTTTTTTCCTAAAGATTTTATGTGCATTGGTGTTTTGCCTGCATGTATGTCTGTGTGAGAGTGTCCGATCTTGGAGTTACAGACAGTGAGCTGCCATGTAGGTGTTGGGATTTGAACCTAGATTCAGAGAAATAATAAAAAATTAAAATTTCCCAGTGGCTGGAGAGATGGCTCAGTGGTTAAAAGCACTGACTGCTCTGCCAGAGGTTTCTGGTTCAATTCCCAGCACTCAAATGGCATCTCATAACTGCCCGTAACTCCAATATCTGACACCCTCACACAGACATACATTCAGGCAAAACACCAGTGCACATAAAAATAAATTGTTTATAAAAACCCACAACATTAGAAAACTCAAACAAGATAATCCTAGTCCTAATCATCTGTATCTTTTTCAAAAAAAAATTTTTTTTTTTAAAGATTTATTTATTATGGGGACTGGAGAAATGGCTCAGCAGTTAAGAGCACTGATTGTTCTTCCAAAGGTCCTGAGTTCAATTCCCAGCAACCACATGGTGGCTCACAACCATCTGTAATGAGATCTGGTGCCCTCTTCTGGCCTGCAGAGACACATACAGGCAGAACACTGTATACATAATAAAATAAATATTTAAAAAAAAAAAGATTTATTTATTATGTATACCATGTTCCACCTGCATGTATGCAGTCAGGCCTGAAGAGGGCACCAGATCTAACTACAGCTGGATGTGAGCCACCATGTGGTTGCTGGGAGTTGAATTTAGGACCTCTGGAAGAGCAGCCACTGCTCTTAACCGCTAAGCCATCTCTCCAGCCCTCATCTGTATTTTTTTTAAGGAAATCTGTGACTTAGAAGATTTTTTTATATTAGGGAATGGTTTGGAAATGCCAAGTGTCCACGTAACAGCTGCAGAAATGAGTGCTCTAGGGAAGCTCTTGCAGGGCTCATGGAAGGCAGGGGCAGCAGTGGCATGTAAAGATACACAGCTCATCTAGGCCTAGAAAAATATTTTATTTGGATGTCCTATTTTATGTATTTATTTATTTTGCCCCCCCCCCCCCACTTTTATTTCAAGACAAGGTCTCTCTGTTTAGTCCTTGCTGTCTTGGAACTCACTTTGTAGACCAGGCTGGCTCCAAACTCACAGAGATCCACCTGCCTCTGCCTCCGGAGTTCTGAGAAAGGCATGTGCCATCATAGCCTGGCGGCCCATTTATTTTTGATGTTAAAATATAATTAGATCATTTTCTCCCTCCCTTTATTCCAACTCTTTCCAAGTACCTGCCCTTGCTCTCTCAAATTTATGGCCTGTATTTCTATTCTGTTTCTGTTACTTGTGTGTATCTGATTTCAGGTATTATTAACCAGTTGGGGGCTCTTCCCCAAGAAAGGCTGTTTCTCTTGCTCTCGGCAGTTCTTGGTTGTCTCTAGTTCTTTGTCTAGGATTGAGCTCCATGGTAACATATCTGTGGTGTCAATTTTTTGTTTGTTTGTTTGTTTTCAGGGACAGGGTTTCTCTGTGTAGCTTTAGCTGTCCTGGAACTTGCTTTGTAGACCAGGCTGGCTCCAAACTCACAGACATCCACCTGCCTCTGCCTCTGGAGTGCTGGGACTAAAGGCATGTGCCAGCACTGCCCACTGTTGGTCTCATTCTTGTTCAGATCTTTTTTATTCATTCACATTGTGTAGACCTTGCTCCTGGAACTTAGTGATCTTTTGTGAAACACAGAATGCTCGTAGTGTAAGTAATTCCTCCTGGTTTATTTTTCTTTATGTATTCATATTCAATCCATTTTACCAAAAACTGGGTTATCTTTTAAAAAAGCACTCATTAGTAGCTTGATAATGACAGACACTAACTGTGGTGATTTTGATCTTCAAAGTTCAATTTGGTCACATGGCAATATGGCAAGAGCGTTACTTCAGATATCCAGTCTGCATTGCCACCATCCATTCTGTGTTACAAGACATTTCAAATTTCATCTTAACATAAGGTTTCTTTCTCCTGAGTGTTGAAGGCTGAGGTGTGTCCAGCAGGAAAAGATCCAGAGGCTGTTTGATTTAGGTGCTATTGGCATATAGTCAGTTGGCTCAGGGAGAAATAAGACAAGTGATAGGGCAGTGGCAGCTGGGAGGAGAGTGTAGGACAGACAGGGTAGATGTTTTAGACCTGCTCAGGATGGCAGAGTTCAGCATGACTTTTCATTTTTTTGCTTTTCTTTCTTTCTTTCTTTCTTTCTTTCTTTCTTTCTTTCTTTCTTTCTTTCTTTCTTTCTTTCTTTCTTTCTTTCTTTCTTTCTTTCTT